TGTGTAATACCTGTGCAATACCTGTTTGATATCTCCCCAATGTTTTACGTACTTAAAAACAGAAACTGATCTGTTCATTTGTTTGTAAAGTGTCCCGCATTGCCAAGGACACTTAATTAATAGTGGAAGAGAACAATGTCATACTTCTACAAAAGCAGAGAAAATGATGTTTTTCCTCAGGATCATTCTTAGAAAATCTGTTCTCTGAGGGGAAATTGCATGAAATTCAAGTGCTGTAATTTGCAGTGAAGAGGAAGAGCAATTGCAAGATGAGAGCAGGTTCATCTATCTAGAAAAGTCATGCAAGTTCATATTAAGAGAAAGAGGACTATCAAGATGTCACTTAGTATGTAAGTAAATTTAGCAAAATATTTAGTACTCACAGTTCAGAAATGTTCAGTGTTTCCAGAATTGCATTTTCATTTCACTTGATACAATTAAAAATATTTAATCATAGACAGCAGTTTTTGGATGGAAGGATAATCAACATCAGAAGCTCTGAAAGACAAAGTGCATGAGTTGTTTTAACAATATTAGTTTCATGATTTATTTTTCCTATTTCTTTTCTTTGCAAGAGCATGTAACACAAAATAACAATATGAACATTTTATTAGATTGGACTACAGCATTTTTTTTTTTGTTATAGTGTAGCTATAGTTGTAGAAATAATGCATTTAAATGCACACCAACAACACATCTAATAATTTTTGTGTGAGTGTTTTTATGAGTATAGATGAATAGCTATCTGGCTATGCCACCTCTTTGGAAACTGCAAGAATGAACTTAAAAGCAATGAAGTTTCTATAAGGCGTTTCAAATCCCTTCCCTTTTTGTGCTATCTAATCCCTAATCTTATAATGAATTGAGGTGCAGAGTTAGTTAAATAGTATACACCGGTAACATATTCTTAAAGTTATGTATTTTTGTCCAATATTTCATTGTTCAGTTTATACAAAGACCACAAAGAATATTTCTTAAAATAAGTCATAGCAATTTGTTTTGGAAAAAGTTTTAAAATTCCAAACACATGAGAATGTCATAAATTCACAAATACATCCAAATAAAAGCTTTCTGAGTTCTTTATCATTTCCCCCCAGATCTTACCACAAAACAAGAAAAGCTGTTTGGTTTGATCTAAAAAGATAGTACGTCTTAGGTCTCTGAACTTTCTTTACTAGCTTTGGAATAATTATTCATGTTAATAGAAGTTAGAAAACAAGACAAATTAAATTCACTTACTCAAGTTCAGGCTTAATCAATATGCTAAAAATCTAGAAAAGATACTAACCTGAGTATTATGTAAAGACATTTTGTCAAATAGGTTTGTGCCTGCTGCTTGACAGCCAATATGGGAAACTCAGCATGAATATTCATGGTAGAAAGTGCTTTGCCTGATGGTGAGTTTTTGCAGAAGCAGGGACTCTATGTAATGCCATGCAGTGGTTTAAAAAGGGAGTGTTTTTGAAAAGGGATGGTCAGGGCTCAAATAAGGAAAGGATATTTTGTGTGGGTGACTCCATTACAGTAAGAATCTGTCTGGTTTTTGTCCTAATAATATCAGATAACTCTCTCCATGATTGAAATAAAAAAGCACTAAAATACCTCTGCATAAAAATTGAAAATATTTTCTTTATAGATTTTTTGCTGAAGTTCGAAGATGAAAAAAGAAAATGCTGTCACCTGAGACACAGACAGCATCCAAATACTTTTACCTAGATACCTCTATTTTTTCAGTCAAAAGACAGAAGAAGGAAAAAACAAACAAACAAAAAACCCACACCCTAACAGCAAGCAAACTTCAATTAACATTTAGAATAATGACATCATATTGCAACAGTTGAAATAGTGTTTGTTATGTGGAAACAAAACATCTTTCAGAAGTCAGTACCATGTCATGTGTCAGTAAGAGTAAATTATTTACAGGGGCAGGGTCTTTGCATGATGTTGTCATTGAGCAGAGCTTCCTCACCTAAAGGCGTGGGTGGTTCTTATGTCTGCTGGGACCTTGCAGTCCTTTCTCAATATTTTCCATTTAATTTGTGAAATTATATATAAATATATTCTTTTTCCCCAACTCTGCTATTCTCACCCAGACACTGAAAAAAAATCTGTTCAAATCTAAATCCCAGGGAGACTTTTCATTATTTTAAGCATAGATTTAATATTTTATGAGAAAATGTTAGATTTATAACTTCTATATGGGGCCTCATTGTCCAATATATCATACTTTCTTTAGCATCGGTCCAACAATGCAAATACATTTAAAGGTACAGAACTAATTAGTCTCTGAATTTTTTGCCAAAGGCAATAGAAAGCAGGATAGGATATGCTGTAGGAGCATACCCCCAAATTGTAGTATATATCTGCATACAGCAAGCTGGCCCAACTATCTAAATCCTTTCCCAGTGCCCCAATTAACACATTAAAGTTTATAAACCCTCAAAATTTTCTTCTGAACCTCTGGCTTCTGAGAAAATTAACAATTAATGTCCTGCATGTTCCTGAGATAAGACAATTCTGGTCCTAGTTAATATTCTTCTATAGTTAGTCTAAATAAATTATTTGAGATCATGAATTATACTGCTACAGCCTGAACATTGTGAATTTTATTGCCTTTATGCTTTCAGTATTTCTCTTCTGTTTTTCTGGATTTCTTTGTTTAGGTGATAGTATTAGGTTTTTATGTAATTTTTAGCAGTCTGTCTAATAAGCAATATGTTTTTAAATATTTTCATCTTGAGTTTTAGTTCTGAGGTGAATTTTAGCATTATATCAAGTCCAAAACCACCATTACTTCAAGTGCCAAAGCATATTGTTTCATCCTATACTTATATTTATCTTTCCCTATGTGATACAGAATCTTTATAAGATAGAGGATCTATATGCCTCAAGAATAAGGCAGAATCAACTGCAATACAAACATGATAAACTGTCATCACACCAACATCATTTACAGCAGTATTTCATATCAAAGTTATTAACCCATTTGAAACAGTGTTTCTTAAAGGATAATTTCTAAAACAATTGGCTTCATGTTTCTGTAATATTTTGCATTAGATAACAATATGTATGAATAGCTATGTGCCACTAACTCCCACAGGATGCAGCCACCCCTGCGCTGCCTGCACATTTTAAAAGTTACTTGGTTCTGTAGCTGTTTATTATCTGATCCTGCATTCTGCAGCCCTGATAAAGTCTCATACCTAGTGCAACTGGAACTGAACTTGCTGTGGAAACTCTGTCTGGACTAAATTTCATAGGTAGCAGTGAGCTGAAAACACTCAGGACTGTGGATTCCTCTTTGTCTTACATAACTATTTTCTACAGTCATTCAACTGAGCTTGTTACAAATATTTGCCCTAGTTTATTACATACTGAAGTGGTTCTTTTCAGGCCACAGCACTATCTTTCTCCTCCTCTTGCAACGCCAGTATATATGTTGATTGCAGACAGGAGTTTTGTGTGCATTGCACTGACAAATGCATGTTATAGGCACGGAGAATTCTCAGGGGGTTGCACATCAGTTTTTTGTGGGGAGAGCAATAAAGAATGACAGAAACTATGGTTCTAATCTGCTGCATGTGAGGGGATAAATACGCTTACTCTTGAAAAATCACCAGTATGTTTACTATAAGTCTGTTAGAATAGGAATTATATTTTACCTTTCTGAAGGTATGCACTTTCTAGATATTTGCAGGTAGATATTAGATTAATTTAGTTTTACTATTTTTCACTACTATTTTACTTTCTGAATAAATAATGTTTTAAAGTGTGAGTTCATATATGCTTTATGAATTCCTGAAGATGCTTCAGCATCCATGTAAAACTCGAATTAACATAATCTCAGATGTCAAAACCGCATACAATTATTAATATCATCTAGTGTATAAATTTATAATACCTCAGATTTTTATTTAAACACGTTTATACATTTTTCTTATATAACTCTCACATTGTGTTTTATAATGCTTATAGAAAAAAAATAAAGATGTGTACATTAAATAGTCTTAATCATCAATATTGCAACAGAGGTGTTACTGTAAGTTCCTTTAATTACATGGAAACAGAAACAGTATTTTTCGCTTGTGGGTAAAATAGACCAACACCCATCACTGCATTTTTGCATTACTATGTAAAGCAAGAATCAAACAGAGGATCGTTATAAGGGTCGAATCTGTCTCTCCTCACTGGTTCTAATACTTTGCACATAATTGTACCAATATTTCGGGATGTGAATAACCAATATATTAGCCATAAACTGTAAAAAACCTCTAAACTTAGTGCAACATTTCCTTATTTGGTGTCATGTTCATTCTGTCCAGCTATAACCTCCCCAAAAAAATTGGTTATCTTTTTGAGGGGATAGTAACTTCTCCAGTGCCTTAATATTCCTGTATGTTCTAATAATCAAGCTTATACTTTTCTTTCATTACACATTCCTTTTTCCCCCCATTATCCTGATGTTTTCTCTGTAAAAAAGAGGTGGGTTTGGCAGAAAATAAATTAATTTTTCTTAAAATTTATAGTGACGTTTTGATTGCACTACTTTTAATGTCTCTCTTTCTTCCCTTTTTCAAATAGATTTTTCATGCCTTTTCCTGGATATCCAATTTCAAGAAGACCACTGGATTTTTTTTAGTTCAAAGCATATTTGCACTAGCATTGCTAATTAATGGATAAATTATTAACACTAATTACTGCCACACATCTTTATATGCATTCAGGCACATACATACAAAATTAGCAATTTAATGTAACCATTTCTGTAAATTCGGCTGTTGATAGCTGATGAATCTTACACAACTGCCTTTGAAGGGTTAAACTTTATGTATTTATGTATTTATATATACATATATAAACATACAAGCACACAGAGACATATATATGTTTTATACAGTCATATATTTTTGTATTAGTTGCACTGTTACACCTGTCTTTCCTGAGCATGCATTTAATCCAAACAGTACCATAGGTAGTCAATCAAAAATGTAAGGCCTTACCTTTACAATCAGGGCTTGATTTCTTAGATCTGTTATATTTCACTTCCACAGCACACTCTGCCCTAAGGTCTGTGATCAGCACTACAGTCAGAGTACCAGGCATGACCTCTATATATACACAATTGAGTAATAGCAACAAGTGAATAAGATTCTTACTTCAGTTCCACATTTATCAAGTGATATTACTCATAGAAAGAGATCCTTCAAGCAAACACTTAATCTGCATTGAATTGGGAGTGATCTTGATGATACACTTGGGAAAAAAAAGGAGCTTATTGTACAACACAGCAGATGAAAATACCCACAGCCATTGCACGTACCACTCATTCTGTTAACCATGTAATATACATTGTCATTTTGACGTGTAGACTATTTCTCTTCCTCTATCACCTCCATGTCAATCCAATTCACTCATTCTTGCCAATGATGAAATGGAAAAGAAAAAAAAAAAAAAGAAAAGGAAACACGGAAAGATTGTTATCCTAGATCTGCATTTGCAGAACATTTTAAAGCCAGTTAGATTAACCATTGGGAAGATGTTAGTCTAGATAAGAGAATCCCCACTGATTTTCTGTCTCCCGTAGACAAAGAAATCACATAGTTGTGTCTGTGCCCCTCTGTTTTGGATTGTTCTATTTTAACACATAACAGATTGAGGGCTGCCTACTATTCCTAATTAACTCAAGTTAAACTAATGAGAGAGAGAGGGTGGAGGGAGTGCCAAAAAGAGAAAAGAGATCATGAGTTGGAAGAGATTGAATTACAACTTAAAGGGGATGGAGAAAGGAAAAGAAAAAGGAGGGAGGGGGAGGATTTGCAGATACAGCCACACTGAAAAGTAAGGGACTAGAAGGGTCTGAGAACAGATTTGCCCTTCTTTTCCAAGTAAAGGCAAAGATGCCTTGCAAAAACACAAAAGAAATATAAGCAATCCAACATTGTATTGAAGGCAGATTCTTGCTTCTTGTTAGGAAATACTTCAGCACCCACTGGAGAACAGCTCAGATTCCAAAATCCAGCTATTGCTCTATCAACAGCTTCCTGCGGCATATACCCACAATTTATCGATGCAGTTATTTTTGCCAACGAAATACCATGTAAACTACTCATGGAAGAAAGTGGTCTGTTCCTTCTAAGTCTAACAAAAAATGCCAGTGAAATGTCAAGTTTTGTTGTACTGATCCAAAAAAACTTCAGTGTATTTTTCCTTATGCTAGGAGTCAGTACTGGGCACACATGCACAAAGAGGAAGGTAGAACTGAACTGTCCAAGTGTAAAAATAATCTGTAATTTTCTCACCTATGTATAGAATAATTTCTAGATTTTATGTTCATGCACAAGATGTTTCCACTTTTCATTTTCACTGATAAATTGTTTTGTGTGGAGTCATCTTTAAATAGAATATATTACAACACATTTTTTGATAGACCTTCTATGTAAATACAGAAATTTGAGTCTCTAGTGATCTTAAATACATTCAGTGCTGTCCTGATTCTGCTCTCACACTGCTGTTACCAGTAGGTTATTTGTTGGGCTTGGTAGTGCAACCTATAATAAAATGACACTGACCAACTTTAATGTAGAGCAAATATTGAAATAAGAGTTGAGTTTCAGTTTGCACATACTGCACAAAATGTCATGTTTTTAGTGGGGTACCTTTTTACTGCAGCCCCAGGAAAAGACTCTGGTCAGCAATCCCATTTGTTTGTGCCTGGGGTCTCCTCTCTCCACCTGCAGAGATGGGGACATAAGCCTGTTGAAAGTGGAGGGGATAATGGGAGTGTGTTTGCTGTAGTTGCAGCTGGGGCTGCAGAAGTGAGAGTTCACCTCTTCAACAGATGTCTGCACTGCACATTCAGACTGAACAGCGGGAAAGGGGGCTGGTAAAAGCCAGGGAAGCCATAAAAGAAAGAGAGGTGGAAGAGGAGAGCTGGTGGTGACAGGGAGGAAGGCAGGCTAGGGGCAGTCACTGAGGGTCAGCCTGAAGGAAAGAAGTACAGTGAAGAAAACATGGTGTCAGACCAAGGGAGGGGAAAGTGGGGGAAGGGGTCAAACTTTCACATTGGAGAAATAAGGGAAATACTGGGAAAGCAACATGCGGGGAGGTGGGGGAGGCTAAAAACAGAGTGGGGCTGGGTGAGGAGGAGTTTCCACAGGCAGTATACGGCTGGGAGAGGAAGGGGAAAAAGGATGGCAGAGGGAGACTCAAGGGCTGGAAGTGCCGCCTGACCGCCACCACCCTCATCCCCAAACCAGAAGCTCTTGTTGGACTCCATACCTGCATGTGCCTGTACACGGGTGCACACACGCTCTTGCCTCTCTACCGTCACCCAGATTGGATTTAATAAAAGCTCTGGCTGGCTTAACAACAGCCAAGGGGATGTGACAGGTATGCGGGAAGGAAATAGCCAGCTCTTTTTGGCCGGCTGTGGTTATTTGCGTCTAACAAGGCCGACTTGTCGCCAGGCTCTGTGCAGATGAAATGAAGCGATGGGCTGAAGCAGGGCAAAGGAGGCGCTGCGTCCTGACAGGCTGAGGTGTGACCTGACAAATCCTAACCACCCCGGACATCTTTGGGAGAGCAAGGGGAGGGACGGTGGGAGTGCGGGGTAGTGGGACACAGCCCGCTCTTGGGCCCAGGGGAGAGAGGGCTGGAGAGAGATGATGGGAAAAAAGGGGCCCTACAACACCTTGTTTCAGACTGAGCATGAAAGCGAGTTTAATTACAAACTCAGCCAATGAGACACAGAACTTTGCAAAAGGTTTTCTTTGACTTTTTTTCCCCCCCAAAGAATTTTTTGACACATCCACTTCACATAAGGTAAAATAACTAAAAATTCTCACTTCTTCATCTCATTAACAACAGCAGGATTTGGTTGTTTTTTTTTTTTTTTTTTTTTGGGGGGGGGGGGGGCATGTCCCAACATTGGCCCATGCGATTTCTCCTCCCATTAAAAACAGGAGGATTTTGTTTTTTTTTTTTTTTTTTTTTTGCGTGGAGGGGGGTACATGCTGTATGAGAGGCACACAAACCTTAGCTGTCATTATTCATTCAACAACACAGCCAAATGCTAAACAGCCTGACGTTTTGGGTCACAAATGTGAGTATTTGTATCTTTGCAATCAGTAAGTGACTCTGGGCATCCAAAGACATTAACACATAAGAACAGAAACAGCTGTTATAGATCATAAGATGTGTTTCTACAATTATGGGAATATTCTTTCTGTAGTCATGTGTATATATCCGGGTCCACATGGGCCAGTGAATTCACTTACCTACAAGTGTGCCTCAGTTGAAAACTTTTATGAGAACCTGTTGAAGTACCCTTAGAGATGTTCTATATTAATCTTTCCCTAAGGCTGACTGACAAAGCAAAATAAAAAGGAGAATGTGAATTTGAATTTAAAAATCAAAAGTAGTGGAAGGAATATTCTGGTTACCATTAAAGAGTTCTCCCCATGGGAACTACGAACCAACAGCTACTAGGGTCTAGAAGCAAACACAGACAGATCTAGAGAAATATGTATGTAGCTATAGGGTAGCTGTGTTTTGCACTCCCTGCCACTGTAATTTCCTAAAAAAGGAAATAATAAGAGAAAATGATTACTCAGAAGACAAAAAAAAAAAAGTATACATACTACAGTTTATTACCCTTTGTGATGCAAAGCTGTAGAATATACTTTTGTTCTCAGAAGGTTAGATTTGGCTTTTGTCTTATTGTGATGTTTCAAAAATACAAGATAAGTAAGTTGAAAGAGTGGGTAAGTCTAGGCTGCTACATTTCACTGTGCAAATCTGACACTAGGGATTAGTATTTTACAGAAGCTGTACTATGGGTAATGTACAGTGCTGCTTGGAGTCAAAGGCAGTTAACTGAGTGCAGGATGCCAAAATGGCCATTGTTTTACTATTTTTATACTTGATTATCTAGGACATAACACATCTGTGCTCATGCCAACATTCTTTCTCTTCGCAATGGAAAATGCACAAGTCAGAAATCTGTGGTTCCCAGCAATTATTAAGAGCACACAGAGATTTGTAAAGACAAAAAAAAAAAAAAAAAAAGCAGTTGGTCTCTGGTTTTGACAGTTTTAATTGGCAGATCCTTCTGCATCGCATCTGTGTGCACACAAAAGTAAATGAGAAAGATCAAATTCCCAAAGTTGTAAATTAACTTTTCTTTCTGAAATAGGTCTTATACAGTGCACAATCACTTCTTCCCATATGAAAGAGAATTTTATGCAAAATCATAAATCTAGATGAATATTGGATGTCGCCTGAAAAATTGTATTCATGAGAAAACAAGAAAAAGGGAAAAGTAATGACAATGTGGCTGAAGTCCCAGCTCAAATAGGCAAAACTCTGTGGACAACTAACATTAAAGGTGTTACATACACATAATACACTACATATTTACAGAAAGCTAATGCAGACAGTTCTGTGTCACTAGACTAGGCTGGTGTATTACATTTCCTTGACTAAGTTAATCTGAAACAGACCGGTCTGGTCCTCATATCCTGGCACAAAAAGCTGCCAGAAACTGCTGTGAGACTTTGGAAAATAGAGTGCACAGGAATAGGCACAGAACGTTTGGTCTCTCCAGCTCTCAGGAAGGCTCTCAGTGTGGTATCCTCTGGTCAAGGTCAGGGAGGACAGAGGATTAAGGATATAAAGAATGGTACAGCCCAAACTTGCACCTTCCACCACTCTGCTTGCTGGAATAGCTTGCTCAAATGAGTGTTAGATTAGTCTATCCTTTTCCAAATTGACATGGTAATGGGAATGATTGCAGAAAAATAAAAATCAACTTCTTGGGGGAAAAAATCTTTTCCAAAATATTTAGAAGCAAACCCCAAATATCAACTTATACAATGTTTTTTAATGTCAAAATGAGAGGAAAAAAATGAAAATAGTGCACTTCTGGTGTAATCCTGGTGTAGAAAAAAAAGTTTATATCAGCAATACATATTCCAATTGTATTAAAAGTTTCTCTGGACAAAAAAACTCATCACAACAAAAAACCACTTTCAACATATATGCTACTGCTGCATAAGCGAAAAACTATAGATACTATGATTACTCAGAAACCACATTGGTGTTGGATTTTACGTTTTACTAAAAAAAGCATTGTTCCAAAAACCCTGTATGTGGGAACCCAGTGAGAGTCAATGAGTAGGCACCTGCATGAGACTTCAAAGAGCATGACAAAAATCACTGTAAGAAGTGTGTAGTACCAAATTTAATGTTTCATAGCCACTGAGGCCATGAAGATAACAAATCTAAACTTTCTTTTTGAAATGAAGATACCATAGAAATCGCTATCTTCAATTTTGGATTAATTATTGGATTACAAGGGATTCCATTTTCCTGCCACAGGCCACATTTTGTTTTCTGCCACTGTACGCCAGCAGGAATTTCCTAAAGCTTTAGGAAACTTCAGAATTTCCTAGTGCTCTTCATGTGAGAGGAAATGAACTGCCATACTCATGGGAAGGAGGTTTTTGAGTCATCCAGGCAGCTCTGTAACAGTCAGCACAACAGGAGAAGATCCAAGGGAACAGGCAGGTACAAGACACTTGCCTCAACTTGAAAACAATCCGTCCTGAGCATCTGGATGAATTTTTGCCACCAAGCTTGCTAAGCATAGACATTAGTGCCCAGACAGATGTGAACACACCAGAGCAATCAGCCATCTTCACAGTCACTCCTAGCAATTCTGTACATAAATTATGCCAGCATTTGTCTGTATACTGTGACTACCCTACCCACTCGTACATACGTTGGTTACCTGAATGATAGAGCATTTGGCAACCCATCCACAGGTTTTAAGTCTGTTCATTGCATGTAAGCCCTTTCTCCATCTTTCTTTTTGTAGCCTCGGAGTATGGAAACCTCTAAAATAGTTATCAGTACTCAACATAGACTTATACCTGAAGCCCATGTCATTCCAGCTTTATATCAGCACAACTCAATGAGTTTAGATGCATTGCTCTTAAACTGCTTCAGCAGTGTAACAAGGTCAGGCCTTTATAATGAGAACTGGAGGTAGTTTGCATTTTAGGTGTGGTTTTTTGCTACTGCATGTGTTTTCATGGTTTGCAAGTATTTTAACATCTTTTTGTATCCATTA